GTCTGCGATTTGCGTGGCGTTTTGCTGTTTTGGATAAAGTATAACTGTCGCAATGTCGTCATCGTCGTCACTGTCCAAAATGTGTCTGAAAATAAGGATTCATCCAAAAACACAAAAAGTCTACGTTAAGTGTCGATTTGTCCGTCACTGGTCGCCATCTTGGAATGAGATCTATGGCGCGGGTTGTTTTTTATGCGGAACGAAACCGCGCCACATACGAACCGTTCCGACTACATAAACGAAAGCGGCCAAGGTATCTTATGTTGGTTACTGAGATTTTGTGAAAATGTTGCTATCCGAGGTTATGGAAACCGTGTTATGTCTTCATAGTAATGGAACACATACATGTTCAAAATAACTATATTAAAGATGAAAGATTTATTTCAAATTAAAAAAACAAACATTTTTTGATATGATATTAATTTTTGAGTTTTATTGTGATTTTTATTCTGTCTCGTTGCTGTATCATGATATGGTTCAATTGACGTATCACGGCTTACAACTACCCAAATATTAGTTCCTGAAAGCCTGTTATGAAACGTAAGGGTGGTGAAGATATGATAAAAAACAATCTAAGACATCAAAGATAAGGATTACCTTTGGCGCAACATGACTGAAAAATGAATACATCATAGACAAGGTTCATTTGTATGTACATTTTTAATAACGTTAAACAAAATGTAAATTAATGAAATACAAAACAATTGATCCAAGTAACATGTTTCACTACTTAGATTTAAAAAATAGAGAACGGAATAGTATAATTAACATCCTTGTAATCATCATGGCACAGACATATTTGGCAACTAAAGGGAAAAAATAGAATGGTAACAAGACGTAAAATAGCGAGTATATTTCAATTCTCACACCAACAACAACATTATGATGAATATGTTAACACCATAATAATGTCATTGATTCGATTTTGACAAAATATAGTGATCAGTCTAAAATGAACAATATTTAAAGGTAACATGTGAAATTAACTAACATCACAGAAAAAAGCCATTCTTTCTGTTTTCTATGTATATATACAAGATATCAACGCGGGAGACAACCTAACAAATTATAAGGTATTACAACCTATTAAAACTGAAACATTGTAAATTACAACCTATTAAAACTGAGACCTTGTAAATTACAACCTATTAAAACTGAGACCTTGTAAATTACAACCTAATAAAACTGAGACCTCGTAAATAACAACCTATTGAAACTTAACCTTGTAAATTACAACCTATTATAACCGAGACATTGTTAAATTACAACCTATTAAAACTGAAACATTGTAAATTACAACCTATTAAAACTGAGACCTTGTAAATTACAACCTAATAAAACTGAGACCTCGTAAATAACAACCTATTAAAACTGAGACCTTGTAAATTACAACCTATTAAAACTGAGACCTTGTAAATTACAACCTATTAAAACTGAGACCTTGTAAATTACAACCTATTAAAACTGAGACCTTGTAAATTACAACCTATTAAAACTGAGACCTTGTAAATTACAACCTATTAAAACTGAGACCTTGTAAATTACAACCTATTAAAACTGAGACCTTGTAAATTACAACCTATTAAAACTGAGACCTTGTAAATTACAACCTATTAAAACTGAGACCTTGTAAATTACAACCTAATAAAACTGAGACCTTGTAAATAACAACCTATTGAAACTTAACCTTGTAAATTACAACCTATTATAACCGAGATATTGTTAAATTACAACCTATTAAAACTGAAACATTGTAAATTACAACCTATTAAAACTGAGACCTTGTAAATTACAACCTATTAAAACTTAACCTTGTAAATTACAACCTATTAAAACTGAGACCTTGTACAATACAACCTATTAAAACTAAGACCTTGTAAATTACAACCTATTAAAACTTAACCTTGTAAATTACAACCTATTAAAACTGAAACCTTGTAAATTACAACCTATTAAAACTGAGACCTTGTAAATTACAACCTATTAAAACTGAGACCTTGTAAATTACAACCTAATAAAACTGAGACCTTGTAAATTACAACCTAATAAAACTGAGACCTTGTAAATTACAACCTAATAAAACTGAGACCTTGTAAATAACAACCTATTGAAACTTAACCTTGTAAATTACAACCTATTATAACCGAGACATTGTTAAATTACAACCTATTAAAACTGAAACATTGTAAATTACAACCTATTAAAACTGAGACCTTGTAAATTACAACCTAATAAAACTGAGACCTCGTAAATAACAACCTATTAAAACTGAGACCTTGTAAATTACAACCTATTAAAACTGAGACCTTGTAAATTACAACCTATTGAAACTGAGACCTTGTACAATACAACCAATTAAAACTGAGACCTTGTAAATTACAACCTATTGAAACTGAGACCTTGTACAATACAACCAATTAAAACTGAGACCTTGTAAATTACAACCTATTGAAACTGAGACCTTGTACAATACAACCAATTAAAACTGAGACCTTGTAAATTACAACCTATTGAAACTGAGACCTTGTACAATACAACCAATTAAAACTGAGACCTTGTAAATTACAACCTATTGAAACTGAGACCTTGTACAATACAACCAATTAAAACTGAGACCTTGTAAATTACAACCTATTGAAACTGAGACCTTGTACAATACAACCAATTAAAACTGAGACCTTGTAAATTACAACCTATTGAAACTGAGACCTTGTACAATACAACCAATTAAAACTGAGACCTTGTAAATTACAACCTATTGAAACTGAGACCTTGTACAATACAACCAATTAAAACTGAGACCTTGTAAATTACAACCTATTGAAACTGAGACCTTGTACAATACAACCAATTAAAACTGAGACCTTGTAAATTACAACCTATTGAAACTGAGACCTTGTACAATACAACCAATTAAAACTGAGACCTTGTAAATTACAACCTATTGAAACTGAGACCTTGTACAATACAACCAATTAAAACTGAGACCTTGTAAATTACAACCTATTGAAACTGAGACCTTGTACAATACAACCTATTAAAACTGGGACCTTGTAAATTACAACCTATTAAAACTGAAACATTGTAAATCACAACCTATTAAAACTGAGACCTTGTAAATTACAACCTAATAAAACTGAGACCTCGTAAATAACAACCTATTAAAACTGAACCTTGTAAATTACAACCTATTAAAACTGAGACCTTGTAAAATTACAACCTATTAGAACTGGGACCTTGTAAATTACAACCTATTAAAACTGAACCTTGTAAATTACAACTTATTAAAACTGAGACCTTGTAAAATTACAACCTATTAAAACTGAAATATTGTAAATTACAACTTATTAAAACTGAGACCTTGTAAATAACAACCTATTAAAACTGAGACCTTGTAAATAACAACCTATTAAAACTAGAACCTTGTAAATAACAACCTATTAAAACTGAGACCTGGTAAAAGTACAACCTATTAAAACTGAGACCTTTTAAATTACAACCTATTAAAACTGAGACCTATATATGCTTGATCCGTACTGTTACCAAGTTCTGACCTGCTACCACAAATCATGTTTTGCTACAAATTATGAAATAAATATAAAACTGAATACATGTATTAAGTTTTACGTATTTAACAAAGTTAAAATATGATCTAACAAGGAGAGATACACGTTTTTGCTCATGTTCAGTTGTTTTCATCATAAAAAAAAACCCGCAATAATATGAAATACCAACAATTCTGTCCTTCTTCTTTCACTGAATCATAAAAAGCAACCTAACACGTGCTTTAAATACAACTATTTGTAAATATTAGTTACAATGTGTATATTTTATCAGAAAATTAGATTTTTGTATATTGTTTTCTCTGGAATATGATAATTTGAATTTTTTATACAGCATGACATTTGAATTTGATTATTCACACAGCTAACGTGACATGTTGTATATAATGATTCATTTAAACGTATTATCATCGAATTCAGTATGACATGTAGTGTATTTAATGTGGCCTTATCCCCGACTTTCTATCATAACATGTCTTACATTTGAATTGATATCCTGTGTCACGCCATCATGGTGATCACCGTTATTGTATGTTGTGGTAATATGTCTCGATGTCGAAATGTCGACCCACCTAACTTTCTTGCATCAAAACAACGTTTCTAGTTGATCTACGGGAAAATGCTTTTTCAAAGTTTTTCGCAGTCAGACTGACACTTTTTTGAATATTAATGGCTTGAGGTCAGCGCGTGCTGAAACAAATGGCTGCGCTTCCAGCCAATCACACCACGGGTCTCGGCTTTCAAAAATGTGGCAGGCTGACTGCGAAAAACTTTGAAACTCTGAAATGGCGTGTGTATTTGGAGCAAACGGAGTTCATGTCCGCGGAAGAAGAATACATTTTACGTGCATATAGAAGGTTTTTAAAAGAAAAAATATCCATTTTTCTAACAGTACTAAGCATTTTCCCGTAGATTAACTAGGAATGTTGTTTTTGATGCAAGAAAGTTAGGTGGGGTCGATATTTCGACAACGAGGGCTTTCTATGATAATCGATCTTAACCCCTTAAATATGTAAAATTACTCCGAACACCTTATTGTAGGTCCAAATATAGCTGCAACAAATTCTCAGATCCCTGTGGTAACATAATAATAATAATGATAACACTGAACGCAGGCATAATGCCTATATATCCAGAACATGTACGTTACACACAGTTATAGTTGATGATAAAAAGAGCATAACAGCTTATAAATATTGTCCACTGTCACGTGATCACCGATTTTGGTCTCAGCTACATGTAGGCTTTTTAATCCAAAATAAAAACATTACATTACATTTGTTCTTGTAAGCTTTTATCTCACGGTTACACGTCCAAATCTGGTTTAAGGGAAGAATCCTTTGTCCCATGCCATTGAGAACAAAACACCATTTCTACAGGCTGCGTCTATCGAGATATGGAAACCATTGCTTTACCTAAACAGAAACTTTGGCTGCTTTACCTAAACAGAAACTTTGGCTTTGCGGCAGTTTCCAGTGGTGTTTTGTAGACTGTATACAGTCCCGCGGGACCAATCAATTCAGCGTAGTTCCCTACACGATTCCTCTGTCTTACATGCTGACGTACCGCAGCAGCTACCATCACTAACATGAGCAGGGCCAGAAGGGATCCAAGTACCGCTCCTACCACAGTAGCCATACTGGAACTATCTGTGACGTCAGTACTCTCAGGCATGATTCCTATGATGCTTGGCGTTGTATTAAATAGAGTCTGATATCGGCCTGTTCCCGTACCAATTGTCATGGAGGTTTGGCTGGAAGTCTGGTCGGTCATTTTACTTAGTGGCTTAACAGTATGCTCTGTAACCATACCTAGTGTCGTGGTAGTTGAGCCTGCGCCCGTACCTAGTGTCGTGGTAGTTGGGTCTGTCCCCAAACTTTGCATTGTGGTAGTTTGGCCTGTCTCCGTACTTAGTATTGTGGTAGTTGGACCTGCCCCCGTACCTATTATTGTGGTAGTTTGGCCTGTCCCCGTACCTAGTATTGTGGTAGTTGGGCCTGTCGTCCCCGTACCTACTATTGTGGTAGTTGGGCCTGACCCCGTACCTAGTATTGTGGTAGTTGGGCCTGTCGTCCCCGTAACTACTATTGTGGTAGTTGGGCCTGTCCCCGTACCTAATATTGTGGTAGTTGGGCCTGTCCCCGTACCTACTATTGTGGTAGTTGGGCCTGTTCCCGTACCTAGTATTGTGGTAGTTGGGCCTGTCGTCCCCGCACCTACTATTGTGGTAGTTGGGCCTGTCCCCGCACCTAGTATTGTGGTAGTTGGGCCTGTCCCCGTACTTAGTATTGTGGTAGTTGGGCCTGTCCCCGCACCTAGTATTGTGGTAGTTGGGCCTGTCCCCGTACTTAGTATTGTGGTAGTTGGGCCTGTCCCCGCACCTAGTATTGTGGTAGTTGGGCCTGTCCCCGTACTTACTATTGTGGTAGTTGGGCCTGTCCCCGTACCTACTATTGTGGTAGTTGGGCCTGTCCCCGTACCTAATATTGTGGTAGTTGGGCCTGTCCCCGTACCTACTATTCTGGTAGTTTGGGCTGTCTCCGTACTTAGTACTGTGGTAGTTGGGCCTGTCCCCGTACCTAGTTTTGTGGTAGTTGGGCCTGTCCCCGTACTTACTATTGTGGTAGTTGGGCCTGTCCCCGTACTTAGTATTGTGGTAGTTGGGCCTGTCCCCGTACCTACTATTGTGGTATTTGGGCCTGTCCCCGTACCTAGTATTGTGGTAGTTGGGCCTGTCCCCGTACTTACTATTCTGGTAGTTTGACCCGTCCCCGTACCTATTGGCCTGGTATTTATAGCCATACCCGGTGGCGTGGAAGTTTGACTTGCCAACGTATCCGATAGAGCTGAGGTTTGGCCTAGACTTGATGGTGTGGTCATTTGTCTCAGTTCTTGTGAGGAAGACAGCTGCCACGCACCACACGTAAAAGTCATGGAATTGTTTGGCACTTGTCTGTCACAGCTGACGAATTGAGCTGACTGTGTGTGCGTCTTGTTCAGGATTGAGGTTGGACCGCTATAACCTGTAAGAGTGGAGCGTTAACACATTCATCGGCCAATATGAAAGCAATATGTTACAAGCTGCGAGTTCAAGTATGACACCAACTCGACGTTTGGTTGTCTGTCATACTGCCAACAAAAATGAACTCGGGGTTTTGATAGGTAATCATATGGCTTGGATTTCAATGTGCATTTGACACAATGCCTTAAAATTCATACTGATTTGTAATATGATATATTTATTTAATATTTTGGTATAGTTTTAATGAATCTATTATTATCTAACATTAACTAGATTGGATCAATTGGCTCGATTAACCAGTCAGCAGTCTGAATTTTTAGCACTTTCTGCTCATGCACACTAAAAAGGAATGTGGTGTTTAACTGTCAGTGAGAATGCACCAATCTAAATTCAATTTTTATCATCAATTTCGAAGGACAAATGGATTTGGCAGCAGGCATAGCCTATTTAAGCCCTCTCCAAACATAGTAACAAACAGTGGTACAAGCATAGACATAGACATTAGAACACATACAAACACATATAAACAAGTTGGTATTATCAAATTAATAATCAAATTAGGGGAAACAACTACTAATACTCATTTTTATTGTAATTGAATATAATTGTTTAAATTTTAACCTTTTATTTTGATACCGAAAAGACATATACTATATATATATATATATATATTATAAAAAGAAAAATTCTTAACAACGAGTCTTTAGTACTTTCATCTCTTCTAGGAGATTCTTCAGATTCTTCTCCTAGAAGAGATGAAGGTACTTAAGACTCGTTGTGAAGAATTTTTCTTTTTTATAATATTTCTTCGTTCGTAAGGATCATTTTTCTGATTTATAATATTGTAATGCGGATTTACCTCTTCCGGAAATCGGGGTCCGGTCCCCGGATTTGATGTTAGACGCGGAAGCACGTTATCCGGTGTTCGTTGAGTTTTACCGCCATTAAAAGGTTGCACTGAAAACTCGGACGATCTTTGTGTTGTTATTGAAGAACACAGCCAGCCATCCGGCATAACAAGTGGTGTCAGAAGTGGGATTTTGCTTATACGCCCTGCAGGGAGTCCAAAACCCGTTTCTTTTTGTGTAATGTATTGCAATTCGTACCTCAAAGTGGACAGAGGTCTGCTACAGGTAATCGCGCTGCATTTTGTGTTTGTGGGTTGTTACTCGTCATTTAAATGATTATTTTGTAATTTGATTACTATAACTCATTTATTACTTTCACAAAGTAAGAGCACAATAACTAATTTACTTGGTTTGGGTAATTTACTGTTTTGTGTGCCTATATTTAGCCTTTGTTCTTGTACTTTCGTTTTACATGTATTTTCGTATTGGTGTTCACTGCGAACACTGGAATTGCTTCCAAACGAATCGTTCACTGCGAACGGTCAAACATTATCTTTCAGAGGTCGGAGAAGGATCTCGTAGACTACCTTAAATCACACAACGTGACAATACCACCTCACGAGGCTGATTTGACCCCCCTGCTAGTATCCGACAGCAAAGGAAAGCGCCTTGCAGTGGTACACAGGGGCAGTAATCCAAAACTTCCGATACAGTTCTCATGTAAAGGTGGTGCAAACTCATCAACCCTAGTATCCCTACTAAAAGAACAAATTCCCATCCTCAAGCAGAAATTTGGTAAACCTGTTTATGTTTATTTCTGGGCTGGTACATGCGACATAACCTCAAAGCAAGGCTGTTATATAAACATTTCTGGTACCTGTGTTAACACTATACACAAAATTATCAACTGCTACAAAAGAGCGAGGGACTACACAATAAAACAGGGGTGCAAAATTCAATTTATTGGAGTACCTGTTTATTCGGTTAGCCTTTACAATGATATCCAAGGTCACCATAATCCGAGCAAGTTTCTAGAAACAGATGCTGAAGTTGCCAGCCAGGTACACTTCTTGAACTCTCAAATTGAACTTCTCAACACAGAACTTGGTACCACAACACTTAAATTCAATGCTGATCTTCGTGATTGTCGAAAAAAGGGAAAAGAGCGATATTTCATAGAATTATTGGAGGACGGTCTCCACCCTGGGGAACTCTTGGCGAGGAAGTGGTTTAGGCGACTTGAATTAAATATTGTGAAAACTTGTTTTGTGGACCAGGACATTTTGGAAGTCCACGTCGACCAACAGGAACTGTTACAGTTAGCATTTGAACAAAATGTGTGATAAAGAACAAGAAGTCACACCAGGGGAAGGAGAGTCTTCAGTTGACACTGCGTCAGCTGCGGCATATGATATGCTTCAATTCGTAATGAAAAGTTTTGATGAGCAGCGTGATACACAAATGAAGATGTTTCGGCAAACTATGGTGGAGTTTGAAGACGAAAAGAAACGAAGCTTCGAGGCACAAAGTGAAATGATGAAGTCCTTCATGCAAGAGACACGTCATGATATTCAAAATGCCATAGGACATCAAGCACCGCTTGCACAGAGTACATTTTCATCTATGGGTCCACAACAGGAATTTGGAAGGTCGACAGACAGAGGATCGTTTGGTGGTTTTGACGAAGAACTCCGGGTGATCCAGGATAGAGAACGCTCATATTCAAGTCCAAACTTAAATGGACAGAACTCTGCACTATCCAGTACCCCCTCATTGGAAAGACAGGATATGGGACGTATGCTGAACAGACATCAAGGAAAGGGTCCTCAAACAAAACTTCCAGTGTTTGAGGGAAAGGAGGATATAGAGGTTTTTATTGTTCCCTTTGAACGGTTAGCAGAGCGTTATAACTGGACAGACAATGAGAAAGTGGACAGACTCTACGAATGTCTAAAAGGAAGGGCCATGTGGTACATCTGCTCCTTACCAAGGGAGATGAGAAGAGATTACAGGAATCTAAAGGATAGTCTGATCAAGCGGTTCGGACGAAGAGACCCACCCACAACAGCGAGATCAAAATTACACGAAGTAAGGCAACGCAGCCTAAGTAATGACGAATTTGGGGAAGAGGTTTGGCGCCTAGTTACCCTTGCTTATCCTAATGTAGATCTCGACTTGCAAGATCAATTGGCTGCAGAGGCATTCCTCAAGGGGTACAAGAACCCCAAGGTATCTTATGATGTGTTGAACAAGAAACCAAAAACTATCAATGAGGCTATTGAAATGGTTACTTCACAAGAACATAACTTCAAAGCCACCATCGGTAGGGAGAAAGAGATACGAGACAAGGCTCGGCGCGTTTCATGGGCTGATGGGGCTGGTGTAAAAAATGTCTCCGATGACGAAGAAGCGTTGAATACACAGCGTGTTCAACTGCCAAACACTGCCTTAGAGTCGGACAACCTCAGTAAATTAGATGTTCGGATGAAACAGCTTGAGGATCTTGTTCGGAATAGCTCGCTAGAGTGTCGCGCAAGATTCGACCAGTTAGGGAACGAACGCCAAAGTGGGTTTAGCAAGGAAGGAAAGGAATGTTACAGATGTGGTGGTAAGGGACACTTCCAAAGAGATTGCAGCTCTAGGAGATCAAGATCGCCCACACCACCGAACAGTCCCCGTTCTCGCTCACCACAGCATGATGTTAAGATCACCCGGACCAATAGGACAGAGAAAAGCATTATCGTCCCAGTAACGGTCAATGGAACAACAACTGAAGCGGTTATTGATACTGGGGCCGACGCCACAGTCATCTCTGAGAAATGGGCAAATGAAATAAATTTGCTGTATGCTAAGCCAAAGAAAGAAATTCGTCTAATGACAGCTGAGGATGGTGCAGAGATGACAGGATTAGGTGTAGTCACTGCGACTCTCCAAATTGGGGAAGAGGTGAGGGAATTACCAGTTGTGATAGCTCCTATCAGAGACAACATACTGGTGGGCATTGATCTACTCCAATCTGTACAGGCCATTATCCATACTGGAGAAAAGAACCTGGAAGTCAACGGAAAAGTAATCCCAGGACACTCTCAGTTGAACAGATCTGGGACTGCTATTGCCAGGAGTATAGTTAGAGTACATGCAGATGTTGTGGTGCCACCAGGAAGTGAGAAAATAATCATCGGAAGATTGGAGACACCATCAGACACTTCTCAAGCAATACTGGAGGCATTCAATCATCAAAGCGGAATGCGAGTTGGGTCATGTCTTGTCTCTATGAATCAAACTATTCCTGTGAGAGTTCTCAACCTGAAGGATAGCGAGATTAAACTCACAAATGGCACATTTCTAGGAAAAGTTGAGGAAGCTGACCTAGCTTGGGACCCAAATATGAGCAGGGAGCCTTCCGTAAACACCAGTGTCGAGCCAGAACATTTACAAGAGGCCCCTGGGACAAACGGAGAGGTTCCGTTGCATGTACAGGATATTTTTGAAGAGTCCTCAAAAGGACTGTCATCAAATCAAAAAGAGGATCTCTGTATGCTGCTGAATGACTTTCCTGATATATTTGCTAAGGATGACTACGACCTAGGCAGATTCAGCGGAGTCAGACATAAGATTGACACAGGTGAAAACAAACCTATACGTCAACCCGCAAGAAGGACACCATTGGGTTTTCAAGCTGAGGAGGACGCCCATCTACAAAAACTTCTTGACACTGGTGTTGTCATTCCATCTAGTTCTGAATGGGCATCACCGGTAGTACTTGTTCGCAAGAAAGATGGTGGTGTGCGTTGGTGCATAGACTATCGAAAGGTGAATGAGGTCAGTGTAAAAGATGCTTACCCACTTCCAAAAATTGAAGAGTGCCTTGATACGCTTAGTGGTGCGACTCTATTTTCCACCGTAGACTTAATGAGTGGCTACCACCAAATTGAAGTTGATGAGATGGACAGATCAAAGACCGCCTTTGTCACCAAACAGGGGCTCTTTGAGTACACCAGAATGCCTTTTGGCTTATCCAACTCTCCCTCAACTTTCCAGCGTGCAATGGAGCTCGTACTTAGAGGGTTTCAGTGGGTCATACTTCTTATTTATCTGGACGATGTGATAGTGGCATCCAGGTCTTTTGAAGAACATATGCAACATCTGCGTCAGGTTTTCTCCCGGATACGTGAACACGGTCTGAAGCTGAAAGCCAAGAAGTGCCGTTTGTTTCGTGAGGAAGTCCTCTTCCTGGGACACATTATTAACGGTGATGGAATCTCCACCAATCCAAAGTTGGTAGATGACGTCCTGAATTGGCCTGTGCCAAGCAACTGTAGGGAGCTTCAGTCTTTTCTAGGACTTACCAACTACTACAGACGGTTCGTTCAAAATTATGCAGAGATCGCTCTGCCACTGCATGACCTCACACGGAAGGAGGTAAAATTTGTATGGGAAGACCGTCAGTGTGAGGCATTCGAGGCCCTGAAGAAGGCAATTACCACTGCTCCGATATTGTCATACCCGTTGGAGAATTGCAAATTTGTCATAGATACGGATGCTTCTAACAGGAGTATAGGCGCCGTTCTTTCGCAAGTCCAAGATGGGGAGGAGAAAGTTGTTGCATATGCAAGTAGAAGACTGACCCCTGCACAGGAGAAATATTGTGTGACACGACGCGAACTTCTTGCAGTTGTTGCTTTCTGCCAGCATTTCAAACATTATCTTCTTGGCCGGAGGTTCTTATTACGCACAGACCATAGCAGTTTGTCATGGCTTTTCCGATTCAAGTCACCACAGGGACAGCTGGCGAGATGGCTAGAGGAGGTCAGTCAATACTCTTTTGACATCGAACACCGTGCTGGGAAGCTGCATGTGAACGCTGATGCCATGTCACGGATTCCGGATCACGATTCGTGCCCTTGCTACTTCGCGGGTGCCACCGTTGAAACTCTACCCTGTGGAGGATGTATGTACTGTGCAAAACTACAGACTGCGTGGGAAAGATTCGAGGAGGATGTTGACGATATTGTGCCTATAGCTGTTCGTTCGGCGGAGGTAACTGCTGTCGAAAAACACTCTGAGACCGGAGAGGACTCTAATACGAAGGACGATATTCCTCAATGTAACTGGCTACAGACCAAAAGTCCGATGGAACTTCACGAAGAACAGATGCAAGATGAGGATCTAAAACAACTGTATTCATGTGTGGCCAACAGCGAGACAGTTCCTCTGGGTGAGGCGCAAGCAAGAAGTCCTGCTCTGCGGAAGTATCTACTAACCCTTCAGCAGTTCAAACTGATACACGATGTTCTCTACTACCAGTGGGAGGCAAATGGACAGGAGTCACTGCGACTCCTGGTTCCATTCCAGATGAGAAAAGAGATCATGCAGGCATGTCATGAAGCTGTTTACTCCGGTCATCAAGGGGAGAAGAGAACTCTGGAACGAGTGAAGAAAGACTTTCACTGGCACAACATGTCGATGGATGTGAGCATATTTGTTCGGAAATGTCATGTATGTGCCGCTGAAAAGAAGAGTAGTAGAACTATGAGAGCACCTCTTCAGACCTACATCTGCGGAGCGCCAATGGACAGGATACAATTGGATGTCGTGGGGCCTTTTCCTATTAGTGATGCTGGGAACAAATACATACTTGTCATCATCGACCAGTTCACGAAGTGGGTCGAGGCTTACCCAATCACACAACAGGACAGTAACACGACAGCAAAAAAACTGGTCCTGGAGTTCATCTCTAGATTTGGCGTACCCCTGGAGATCCACACGGATCAAGGACGAAACTTCCAAAGCGCCCTGTTCAAGGAAGTATGCCGGTTACTCGGAATCGCACAAACCAGGACTACGCCCTATCACCCTTCATCTAATGGTCAGGTTGAGCGGTTTAACCGCACGCTGTTGCAGATGATCAGGTGTTATCTAGATCATGGCCAGGCGCATTGGGATGAGAACATTCCCCTTCTTCTGTCTGCTTATCGAAGTACGCCACACCCTGCGACAGGATTTACACCAAACCTGTTGATGCTGGGTAGGGAGGTCCATTCTCCTCCCGAGCTGATCTACATGGATCCGGATATTTCGCGTTCCTCTGATGACGCACCCACCTACCTCGACCGGATGTTAGAGGGTATGCACATTACAGAGGAATTAGCTAGGAAAACATTGAGGGCTTCAAAGGTACATCAGAAAAAAGTATATGATCTACGGGCTAGGGGAAGAGAGTACCACGTCGGGGATCTTGTATACGTGAAGAACCAATCACGATCTGTTGGACAATCTCCGAAACTCCAATCTGTTTGGAATGGTCCTTTTGTGATCACCAAGAAATTTGGTCCGGTCGTGTATGAGGTCCGTGGCCGCAAGAAGGCTTCAGTTCTTCACCATGACCGGCTAAAACAATATTTGTCTGAGGTCATCCCGGCCTGGGTTACCAAGATAAAGCATGATCTTGGTACCTCCTCTCTCCCAACGATTGCTGAGGAAGACCATCTTCCAACCATGGATAAGAAGTTCGGGACAGAGGAAAACCACCACGAGTCGCAGAACAGCCAACAATCGCTGAAAGCCAGTTTACCAGAGGAAGAGCCAAAGACACCTGTGCCAACTGGGATGTGTTCACAGCGAACCATCTCAGATGAACCATCCCGGTCCTCGCGTTACGGCCGGGCATATAAGCAGCCTACCAAGCTTGACCTTTAGCAGGAGCTAAAGGAGCCTGGAAGGGGGTGGTGTAATGCGGATTTACCTCTTCCGGAAATCGGGGTCCGGTCCCCGGATTTGATGTTAGACGCGGAAGCACGTTATCCGGTGTTCGTTGAGTTTTACCGCCATTAAAAGGTTGCACTGAAAACTCGGACGATCTTTGTGTTGTTATTGAAGAACACAGCCAGCCATCCGGCATAACAATATATATATATATATATTTTAAAGAGAAAAGAAAAATAATTTGTTGATGGAGCTGCATGTACAAACATTTGATGGGATTAAATTACCGCACCCAACAGATACAGGCAAAAAGGTCCATTGTATCACACAAGGCCATCCACGGATGAGTTTGGAAATTCAACCCACTAAATAGTTTAATTTATGCATATTAAACACATGTTAGATATATAATTAACATGTTGTAAAGCTTTATATTCTTATTTATGTAGTTGTTTCCCAATATTTTTTAACATTAGTTATTAGTTATTATAACTGGTCTTCTGAACCCCAATATTTAAAAATAAACAATGAAGACAAATAGGAAATATCAATATTAATATTCATTTACCATTTTTGGAAATCAGAAGAATTGCGTTGAGAAAAAATAAAATGTAAATAAATGAGTAAAATGTAAAATTTCATTCAAAATTGAAGTTAAATGTCCTGAATCTTCTGGAACTTAAAATGTAATTGGATATAGATAGGAGAATATGTTTGTTTTCATTTTCATCACATCCCTCACAACCATTTAGCATGACATCTATTGATAAATGGTTGTGGGTTTTATGGAATATATTCTGAAAAAGTACAATACGATCTTCAGTGTATTAAATACAATCATGGAAATAATGAGATGCTGTTTCAAATCTAGAACCACAAGAACATGCAGAGGAAGGACTCAGTAAGATAATCTTTCTGACGGTCATTATTTAGGCCTCATTTCTCAACTGACAGAGAATAATATTAGTTTCCCTATTTACTAAAAACTTAAAGACATCAGTTGTTCTTGTGTTTGCATTTGGAAAAGGTGTTATTTACTTTTTGAACTGATAGGCGGAAGGAATATTTTGTCATCGCAATCAGTTGGCTAAGGTATTATGTTTATATACACTTACATGACTTATCTCCATGACAACCAGGATCAGTACAACTAAGAGACGCGACGTTGACCGTCAATAGAGAGTTAGGCCAATCTGGCATGGTATTGCTGTTTGGTAAATTGTTGTACTTCGTTTTGGTTGGGAATTCGTAAAATAATGTCCGAATTTTATCACACAGTGATCCGGATTCCTTTCTGCGAAAAAAAGGTTTTAATGGAATCATTGTGTAATACATCTGTCCACATAGGACTCGGAAAATTACCAAAATTCCTACATAGGAGTTTGAATGATCCTATATCTGATTTCGGAATATCAAATTAAAAGAACACAGTTTCGTGATAAAAAGTCAATGTCATTTTAAACAAATAAGAAATGTAAAAATATATACAGAAATACAGGGTATTAGTCAGACATCAATCCCTAGTTTACTAATGGAACAAAGGGTATGAGTTAATCAGACATAAATCGTTAGTTTACTAATGGAATACAGGGTATTAGTAAGTTATACATAAATCCATAATTTACTAATGGAATAAAGGGTATTAGCTAGTCAGACATAACTCCCTAGTTTTCTAATAGAATACAGGGTATTAGTCAGACAAACATACCTCGTTTACTAATGGAATACAGGGTATTAGTCAGACAAACATACCTAATGAACTAATGGAATACAGGGTATTAGTCAGACAAACATACCTAGTTTACTAATGGAATACAGGGTATTAATCAGACATACCTAGTTTACTAGTGGAATACAGGGTATTTAGTCAGACAAACATACCTAGTTTACTAGTGGAATACAGGGTATTAGTCAGACATACATACCTAATTAACTAATGGAATACAGGGTATTAATCAGACAAACATGCCTAGTTTACTAGTGGAATACAGGGTATTTATTCAGACAAACATACCTAGTTTACTAGAGGAATGCAGGGTATTAGTCAGACATACATACCTAATTAACTAATGGAATACAGGGTATTAATCAGACAAACATACCTAGTTTACTAGTGGAATGCAGGGTACTAGTCAGACATACATACCTAATTAACTAATGGAATACAGGGTATTATTCAGAGAAACATACCTAGTTTACTAGTGGAATGCAGGGTATTAGTCAGACATACATACCTAATGAACTAATGGAATACAGGGAATTAGTCAGACAAACATACCTAGCTTACTAGTGGCATACAGGGTATTAAACAGACAAACATACCTAGTTTACTAATGGAATATAGGGGATTAGTCAGACAAACATACCTAGCTTACTAGTGGAATAAAGGGTATTAGTCAGACAAACATACCTAATGAACTAAGGGAATACAGGGTATTAGTCAGACAAACATACATAGTTTACTAATGGAATACAGGGTATTAATCAGACAAACATACCTAGTTTACTAGTGGAATGCAGGGTACTAGTCAGACATACATACCTAATTAACTAATGGAATACAGGGTATTATTCAGAGAAACATACCTAGTTTACTAGTGGAATGCAGGGTATTAGTCAGACATAGATACCTAATTAACTAATGGACTACAAGTATTAGTCAGACATGAATAATGGAATACAGGGTATTAATCAGACATACCTAGTTTACTAATGGAATACAGGGAATTAATCAGACATACCTAGTTTACTAGTGGAATACAGGGTATTTAGTCAGACAAACATTCCTAGTTTACTAGTGGAATACAGGGTATTAATCAGACATACCTAGTTTACTAATGGAATACAGGGAATTAATCAGACATACCTAGTTTACTAGTGGAATACAGGGTATTTATTCAGACAAACATACCTAGTTTACTAGTGGAATGCAGGGAATTAGTCAGACATACATACCTAATTAACTAATGGAATACAGGGTATTATTCAGAGAAACATACCTAGTTTACTAGTGGAATGCAGGATATTAGTCAGACATACATACCTAATTAACTAATGGAATACAGGGTATTATTCAGAGAAACATACCTAGTTTACTAGTGGAATGCAGGGTACTAGTCAGACATACATACCTAATTAACTAATGGAATACAGGGTATTATTCAGACAAACATACCTAGTTTACTAGTTGAATACAGGGTATATACATACCTAATTAACTAATGGACTACAAGTATTAGTCAGACATGAATAATGGAATACAGGGTATTAATCAGACATACCTAGTTTACTAATGGAATACAGGGAATTAATCAGACAAACATACCTAGTTTACTAGTGGAATGCAGGGTATTAGTCAGACATACATACCTAATTAACTAATGGACTACAAGTATTAGTCAGACATGAATCCCTAGTTTACTAGTGGAATAAAGGGTATTAGTCAGAGAAACATACCTAATTTACTAATGGAATACAGGGTATTAGTCAGACATGAATCCCTAGTTTACCAGTGGAATACAGGATATTAGTCAGACAAACATACCTAGCTTACTAGTGAAATACAGGGTATTAGTCAGATAAACATACCTAGTTTACTAGTGGAATACAGGGTATTAGTCAGACATACATACCTAGTTTACTAGTGGAATATAGGGTATCNATACACAATGGGAGAACAGGGTAAGAGAAAAAGAATCATTCACTCCCTTGGGGGTGAGATAGGGGAATCTCAACCCTCGGGGGGAAAAAAAGTTGCCAAACACTCAGCAAAGC